TATCTATCTATCCATCCATCCATCCATCCATCCATCCATCCATCCATCCATCCATCCATCCATATATATATATATATATATATATATATATATATATATATATATATATATATATATATATATATATATATATATATATATATATATAATATAATAGTAATTAAATAGTATAATGCTGTATAATGACAAATACATATGATAGTAAAATCACCAGCAGGTGGCAGCAAGTAAAGGTTCACTGAGTTGTTCGATTAAGCCAGGGGTTCCCAAACATTTCAGCCGGCGACCCCCAAAATAGCAATTCCAGTGACTTGCGAAACCCACTACCTTATTTTTTTTTAATCCTTTTATTCCTATTTTTTTTTAATATATGCAAGTGCCATAAAGGTCACAATTTAACATGGTGCTGTAAAATCAATCTGATGCCCTTGATGGTATTGCTGTGTGGTTAATCGAACATAAACACCCCAGGAGTCTCAATCCAATGAAAGAAAAAACAAAACAAAAAGGCAGATTTTTATTTGTATGCTGTTTAATTCATTCATTTATTTTCTTTTTGGTTTAGTCCCTTTATTAATCTGGGGTCGCCACAGCGGAATGAACTACCAACTTATCCAGCATATGTTTTACACAGCGGATGCCCTTCCAGCTGCAACCCATCACTGGGTTCACAAACATACACTATGTGCAATTTAGCTTACTCAATTCACCTATACCACATGTTTTTGGACTTGTGGGGGAAACCGAAGCACCCGGAGGAAACCCACGCGAACACGGAGAGAACATGCAAACTCCACACAGAAATGCCAACTGACCCAGTGGGAGCTTGAACCAGCGGCTTTCTTGCTGTGAGGCAATTGTGCTACCCACTGCGCCACCATGCTGCCCATGTTGTTTAATGTAACTATTAAATACTATTTGTGTGCTCTGTAGATTATGAATAAAATATAGTAATTCTAATAGTTTATTTAAATTTAATCAATTTTTGGAAATCATCAAGCGGCTCTCCCACATTGTCCTGCGACCCCTCCCCACCCCCCCAGGGGGTGCCAACCCCCTCTTTGGGAACCACTGATTTAAGCAATGCAATTAAAACTGCAATCTGCTTTATTTCAAAATTAAATGTGACTGTGTATTTGACTTGCAGGGCAGCACATACTGAACAGCATCTGACTTAAAGCAGTGAATGCTACTTTATCCAACTTGAGACTACACCGATGTCAAGTTTTTTTTCCTCCTTCCCTTTCCCTTGTGTTACTGCACAAGCTTTGATGACAACACAAGTGTTTCACATTTGGCCAGGTGACAATGCCTCTGGTCTTTTCTGAAACATTACAGCTCAGGTGATGCTTCTGAATTTGTTTTTATAAAAATACAAACACATTTTATGCAACCATAACTATCTTTTTTTAACTTTTTCATGTATAGCAAAATAAAATTGATAAAAATGTATAGAAAATGTATAGATACCGATGTTACAGGCTGGGTATAAAGCAAACTGTTGCATTAAAAATGATCTGAAAAGGCTGTCTATTTGAAGCATTCGATCCCAGAATGCATGTGTAATTATAAAAACACAAACTGTTTTTTTCTTTCTTCACTTGAATTACACAGGCCTATCTAGTTTAATGCTTTTGGGCCCTCAAGATGTGTTTTTGTTTTGTGCAAAGCTAAGGGAGTGACATACAGCTTAAACGAAATTTAAACAACAAGTATAACAATCATCACATGCCCTTACACCTCTGTGACATCTGATGTAGACATTCTGGATATTAACAGCACTATTTAAACTTGCTAAGCAACAATCCTAGATTACATGTGAAAAATAAAACTGGACTCATTTAAATGAAACAACATGACTTTCAAACTCACCATTGCAATGTAGTTGAACTTTCGGGTCACCTGTCGGATCCTCTTCATCTCTTCTTCCAGATTACAGGCCCAAACCTCACATATTCTCTGGCTATGATCCACAGTGGCTGCGGGCATAGTTCCACTCTCAGGTGCACGGCATCAAAACCAAAAAAACACTCCCCAGGGGATATTCTCATGAAATAATAGTTGCTTGTTCCCTCTTTTTGCCTGCAAAAACAAACAAAGCATTACAACTAGCCTGCTGATTTAAATCAAATGACTTTATTCTTACTACATCACAAACAATACACTAACAAATAAATAAAATGCAAATTCATTTTATGAAAGTGTAAATAAACAGTGTTCAAAATGCAGAATGAATAAAAGAATATGTACTAAATGGTTTATATATGTCACCAAAAGTCCATCATCTGTCATTAAAATGAGAATTTTGTAATCAAGTATGCACAAACTGAATTTTCTGCTCTAAACTCTAAATAACAACTAAACTTGTCTGTGAATTTAGTTGTGGATCCTACGTCTGCCATGGCCTGGATGATTCACTTGGGTAAATCAATATAAATGTGTTTACAAATTTCACACTTTGTTAGATGAACAACCTTTTCATTCCAGACAGCATTATGAAGATTAGAAACAGAAGGAGATTTTCTTCCTCTAAGCTTCCTCTTTGTAAACATGACTCCTCGGCTGCTATTTTTGCTTCATGACAGCATTTGAATAATGATTCATACTTACAACATACAGAAAAAAACTACTGTAGTGTGACTAAACATTACAACAAGTGCCAGATAAGACAACATGGTTTCAGGCTAACAGAAGCATTCACTTCAATATGCAAACAAAGCATGTAGGAAGATTGGTTGTGTGCCAAAAATGCTTTTGAATATTCATGCACGTTAAAGTGATTTTATAGTCTATTGTATTCTGCCTCACATGTCCTTAAGCTATTAAACGCCCAAATAACTTACTGTGGGTTGACAGGTTAGAAGCATCAGCAGCAGCTAGGACAAAATCTGCTAAACTGAAAAAACAACACCGCAAACGTCCTGAAATCACGTCTACACTAAGCTTTCAAAGAACTGTGTTAGTAGCCTCTCGTAACGTGTGAATTGTGCTGTTTGGAGAACGGGGTGAATGTTTATTTCTGTATGAGGCTAGCGTGTTAGCTACTAGCTTAGCCACAAAGTTTGTCCTGTTAGAATGATCAAACTTGACTTTTTTTCTGTCAGGACTTACCTTTCCTCAAACAAGGTAGTTACACTTAAAGCGTATACTGCTTCAGTAATACACAATCACCTTGTTTAGAAAGGACTGGGACGTTTGTTCTTTACTTTTATATAGTTTTATTGGGCTAACACCGATATCAACAACCAGCTGCCACCTCTGAAACTACATCACAGCGCTACAGCGTGACGTCACAACACCACGACGCCTGACCTTTGAACTCCTCGTGGGAGTTTTATGTTCGTAAATAAAGACGCTGATGTGCAATTTAGTTATTTTTATGTTTATGCTTCATAACCCCCAGGTAATGTTTATTTTCATATTATTTTCTATATATTCATATTATCTCTCTGTTTATCTATCTGTCTGGCATGGGACAATAGCCGTTCTCAAGGTATACTGTACTTTGGAAAAGTCAACGTTTTAAAACCGCCCAAATTTTCAGCTATAACGTTTCTTACAAGGTATGTGTAATAATTTGTATTCAGTTTTTTTTTTTTTTTTTTTTTTAGGACAACAGTATCTCCAGCAGAAAAGGTATCCAAAGATACTATTGTAAAGAAACATTTGTAACTAGATTCTTAAAGTTTGAGGACAAACTTTGAGGCAGGCTTGTGAAAGCCTGATGATAATAGTTTATTTAGTTTAAACAGTTTTAAAAAGTATGAAAAGATGATTCTAGCATGAATTAGCATGATAGATAGATAGATAGACAGACAGACAGATAGATAGATAGATAGATAGATAGATAGATAGATAGATGATAGATAGATAGATAGATAGATAGATAGATAGATAGATAGATAGATAGATAGATAGATAGATAGATAGATAGATAGATAGATAGATAGATAGATAGATAGACAGACAGATAGATAGATAGATAGATGGTTTGCTAGCATGAGTCAAACAAGCCAACCCCAGCTTCTCTAAGATGTTCTGATACTAAGATATAGCTGCTGTTAAATCGTTGCTAGGTTAGTCTGTTTTGTTGCTATGGAGTTGATTGACAGTTTAGACTGTTGATGTATCAAAGCTTCTTGCCAGTATGAACAGTTAAAAGCAACACATGTCTCTATCTCACTGCAGCATGACGATATCAGTCTGAACCTCTATAATAGCAGTCTATGGGATCGTTGCTAGGGTGCCGCATCTGGTTGTTAGGGGTGTGGCTAGAAAGTTAAAAGCTCATCAGTTATTGGTAGTTTGGTAGTCTGAGTTAATTGAGCCCAGTTAAAAGTCTGTGCAACAGTTTCATGTAGAGTTATGAGCTCACAAAGTTTGACCCAATGTAAAGTCAATGAGAGTCTTTTGCAGTGGAAGTCTATGGGACAGTTTCTAGGGTCCCAAAAGTGGTTGCTAGGGTGTGGCCAGAAAGTTAAAAGCTCATCAGTTATTGGCAGTTAGGTAGTCTGAGTTAAATGAGCCCAGTTAGAAGTCTGTAGGACAGTCTGATGCAGAGTTATGAGGTCACAAAGATTGGTCCAATGTTAAGTCAATGGGATTTTTCCGATGGTCCCGGGACGTTTTTCGGAAAACCGAAAGTCGGATCAGTCGGAAAAGATATAGCAACCCGAGTCAGACCAGTTTGGAGGTCTGGTGTGAGTTTGGTGGTCATAGCTTGAAAGCTCTAGGAGGAGATAGAGTTTAATTTTTAGTCTCAGAAGAAAAATAGGATAACAATAGTCTGGCTTGCTACACAAGCCAGCCTAATTATAAATAGACATTTTAAAATAATGCATTTTTAAGAGCAGTAATCACAATACCATGATTTTTTTTAATCCAAGGTTATCATACCATCAGAATAATATAACGGCTCATGCCTGCCTACTATCCATCCATCCATCCATCCATCCATGTCTGTATGTTCTGTTCCAGCTTGAATTGATGAGCATCAAAAATGTTTCTTTTAATTTTGCCTTTATTTGTATGGACATCAACATCACACAGCTGGGAGAAACATGTAAATAAGTTAAAGCATTATTCACTATAATCTGTGAATTGTCTCCAATATTCCTTCAAAATGAGTACATTATAACATAAATTCCATTAACCACAAAAAGCATGATTTATTAAATATCAATAATATTAATCACAATTGTAATCATTGGGTCATTTTCTTTTGGCTCTTTGAGTTTGTTTTTGACTATATGTGCCAAGCTCTTAGTTTTAGATCTGCTAAAAACAAACCACTGTAAATAAGTTACTTAAAGCAGATTTGAAGATTGAAATATCACAATTTCACACAAAAAAATCTTTTTTTTACGTGTTTTGGATATTTTCAAGTGCATAAAGTGCAAAAAAAGAAATAAAAATTGAGGACATTTATTGCACACAAGTGTTTAATGTTTGAAATATTCCATGCTAATGAGAAATTATAAATATATATTAGAATAAAACATCCCTCTTTATATGGAACACCCGTAATACACATTCAGACAGACAGACATGCTTCTGTAGTGCCAAACACATGACATGAGGCACATAATCCAGATGGTCCAATATCTTTGCATAATTTAAAAATACCCACTCCCTTACTTTGCTCATACATTAGACACATTAGTGTTTGCTTTTTGCAGACTTGCATTTGTTCAGGCTCTGTTGTGTCCAGTCTCGTCTGAGTCTTTCACACTGTCCTCACTTGGCAAAGACTCTTCGCCAGAAGAATGGCAGCTGAAATCTGCTACTCCTGATTCCTGGTCGCTATTTTCAGCATCTGAACTTTTTGGTTTGTCTCCAAACAGGCTAAACTCTGTGCTTTCTTTCTCTCCTTGCTGTGAGGTGAAAACATTGGGAGCACCACCTATAAAACCACCAAGGTAATCCTGAGGTGTATTGGCCAGACTTACATCTAAAGGTACCGACCAAAGAGCCTGCCTGCTCTCTAACACACCCTTTTGCATATAAAGAATTTTTGCACGCTCCTTATCTAGAACAGCCAGTTTCTGCAAGAAAAAAAAAAAAACATTCAATCACATAACTTTCAATGTAAAGGAAAAATCCTTATATCATATACTCAAAAGTAGGGTTTTTGGAAGAAAATGCTGACATTTTAATGCAGTTTTCAAAATGAAATAAAAATGAAACCATTATCATCTATGTGTAAAATACAAAAACAATATCTAACCTGCTCATAGAGAGCCATCTCTTCTTCTAATTGCTGTGTTTCGTCTTTTACTGCCATCAGACAATCCAGCTCAGACTGACGTGGGTGCAACTCTCGGTCAAATCGATTATACAACCTCCTCCAGTATCTAAACTCAGAAAAGACACAACAAACAGACATAAATAACACTGTATTTCGAACCATTTCCTTTTTTTAAATTGGACAGTAATCTGAGGTACACTTTGTTTTGATGGTCCCCTTTACCGTAGATATTATGCTGACTACAACTAACATTGCAACTACAAGGGAGCTCTATTTAGTATATAAATAAATAAAATCAATCACTGATTAGTCATATCTGACGATTTCCAAACATGAGTAAAGGCAGTTATTATTAAGCATATTTCAAGAGTTATATTTATTTTGAAGCAAAGAACAAATAACATCAATGTGACATAAAAAACAAAAATCAAACTTACAGAACATTTTCATATTCAGTTATTGGTGTTAATTGGTGTTACATTAACGAATGTTGTTTAAACAGCAGCTAAACTTTGCAAGATGGTGAGCTAAAAAGTGACTGAAACCTACTGCAGCTTGCCCAGATGAAGGCCTCTTAGGTGCTGACCCAAGGGCCACCTACTACTATTTTTTGACTGCCGTATCTAAGGCTGCACAATATATTGTTTGTTTCAGCATTGATATTGCAATGTGATCAATCACAATGCTCACACTGCAGGAATATATGCAATGTGGAATATTGAGTCTGGATGAACATTTTTAATTTTTAGTTTTTGAGGCCTGTGACTGATGATTCTAAAAGCATTTATGGATAAGATTTTTTTTAGGCTCGAAAAAAGATAAAACAGTTTTTTTCTATTGCATATTTGTTTTTTTGCTGTATTGATCTATGCTTGTAGTTTATTATATGTTATGAAAATGCTCTTCTCCACAGATTCATCACAATCAGTCTAAAATGATTAATTCTCTCCAAACAGAGATAGTCAAAGCATCTGGTGAAATGATATTTAAATCGCAATATATATATATATTGCAGAATAACAAAATATAGCAATGTTACAATTTTCTGAAATTTGACAGCCCTATAGCTGTAACCTTCAGCATTTTAGCTATAAACTTTGTGCTACAATCACTGCTCTTCTATAGTTTTAATCAATATGTTTTTTATAAAATAAATGTTTCTTGTTGTTTAATTTATTAAAACACTGTTCTACTAGCATGGTAATATATATACAGTTGAAGTCAGAATTATTAGCTCCCCTTTGATTTTTTTCTCTTTTTTTTAATATTTCCCAAAATATGTTTAACAGAGCAAAGAAATTTTCACAGTATTTCCTATAATATTTTTTCTTCTGGAGAAAGTCTTATTTGTTTTATTTCGACTAGAATAAAAGCAGTTTTTGATTTTTAAAAAAAACATTTTAATGAAAAAATTATTAACCCCTTTAGGCTTGTTTTAATAGTCTACAGAACAAACCACTGTTATACAATAACTTGCCTAATTGCCCTAACCTGCCTAGTTAACCTAATTAACCTGGTTAAGCCTTTAAATGTCACTTAAAGCTGTATAGAAGTGTGTTGAACAATATCTAGTAAAATATTATTAAATGTTATAATGGCAAAGATAAAATAAAGCAATTATTAGAGATAAATTATTAAAACTATCATGTTTAGAAATGTGTTGAAAAAAAACTGCTCTTTGTTGAACAGGAAACAGGGAAAAAATTAACAGGCACTAATAATTTAAGGCGGCTAATAATTCTGACTTCAACTGTATATATTCTTTACCAAAAGATTCACTTTTTATTTTTAAAAACAAAAGTGAATTGAAATTATTTGTATGACGGATGGGGAAGATCAAAACAAAGTGTTACCTAAACATGTACTATCACATTAAAATTATTGTAAAAAACAAAGCTGCGTCCTAATACGCATACTATACTATGCTGAAAAGAGTATGCCAAAGGTTCCCTGATTATTTACTATTTCCTGTAAAACTTTGAAGTGAAGAAGCGTCCATACACTACCCTCTAATATTGCCCACAATACATTGCACGTTGGATGTGAATTTGACTAGAACTACAAACTTGGGTAAAAAGTGTAAACAAACTATAAGCATGACGGACACACGAGACCAATCGTCAAGTAGAGAGGCATTGGTAAAGTTGTTTGATTGACTGTTAATCAATATCTAGCCAACAGAAACATAATTAAACCAAATTTCTGTGTTATATTTCATCTGCAAGAACAATGTGATCTTATATCAAAGATTTGTTTGAATATTAATTTTTAAATGCATAATTACCAAAAGACCTGAGGAGATTTCTCTGCATGAAAGACTTGTGAATGGCAGCTTATCCTGCTGCTGCTTCTTCAATAAGGTAGGTAATTAATTATGAAAGAAATGTAGATGATGTGTTGAGATGATTGACAGGGTATGTAACTAAGCAACATAATAATCTGTTAATGACGAAGTAGTATGTCCCAAAATTTGTATACACACTCAAAAGTATATGCTTTTCTTTTATCAAAAAAGTACATACTTTTAGGGCATGGTATAAATAGGTGAATTGGGGACGCAGCAACAGTTTACAGTACACAGAGGAAGAGATGTTCTGACATACTTAAAACAGTAGGGGGCAGTGCTAGGCCTTAAAAGTCCCTGATTCTGGATCTGATCAGGTTTGAACAGAGGGTTCATGAAGTCCAGCTTGTTCTCCATCAAATAAGGCCATATGGAGTGAGTTTTCTCTCTGATGCTGCAGAAAAAAGTGAAAAAAGAAAAAAAGATTCTAATGTCTTGCAAAACAACAAACAGAAACTACTTTTCATCATATTATTAAACAAACGGGAGAGTTACCGCAGATCTTTCCTCTCCTTCTGGCTGTTACAAATGAAGTTGCCGTAGTGGCTGGAGTAAACGTGGTTGTGGATGCTGATTAGAAACTTCTCATTGTACTCAAAAGCGCAGGGAAACTGGTCCATAAGCTGCCATACACATTCCAGAAACTGGTCTAGAACAGGAGACACTTCTTTGGCTTCTCCGTCTAGGTGACCGCATCTGTAAAGCCATAAAGTAAAACACAGTAAGAATGAGAATGCTCATCTATAACAACAAAACCGGTAAAATAAATTGTAATATGAAGGCCAACCTGTGTGAAAACTTGTGTCCAAATAAAACCCAGTCTTTCTCAATCAGCACCTACAGATGCAAATATAAATACAATTATACAATTATTTAAAAAGTGTTTTACTTAAACTATCATTCAATTATGTTTAGTTTTTTTAATCAGTAAAAAGACTCTCACTCTCATTCCTAGTGCTTGTTCACTGCTTTATCAGGGATCGCTACAGTGAAATGAACCGCCAATTACTCTGACAATTGTTTTATACAGAGGATGCCCTTGCAGCCAAGTACAAACCTCAGTGCTGTGAAACTCTCACACACTCTCTTCATTCTCACACTATGGTCAATTTCATTTATTCATTCATTTTCCTTCGGCTTAGCCTTTATTTCAGAGGTCACCACAGAGGAATGAACCACCAACTATTCCAACATATGTTTTATGCAGCAGAACTAAAACCAGTGACCGATTTTTATTTTAGAAAGATTTCATATAAAGGCTGTTTATTTTTAAATTAAATGTATCAAACAATCCTTTAAAAATTGTACAGTTTCCAGAAAAACATTAAGCTTGATCACTGCCAAATTTAGGTTTTAAAATCCATGGAATACAAGAAAATTTGAATAAAACTGTAATGTTTGCAAGTTTATCTAAAATTCTGGAGTTTATATTTTGGAAATTTGAGATAAAAACACATTTGAGTAATTAAAAATTCCAAAAATAAAAACAAAAAATAAATAACAACAAAATGCTTTGCAATTATACAATAAAAAAATACATTTTAAAAAATTGTGAGTTGCAGATCTAGGTGGCACATTGCAGAAATTCTAACAAAAATTCAGAATCATGAATTGTAAATTCAAATTTTTTTAACCTTAAAATCTCAAAAATTTGATAGTTTAAAAATAAAACGTCCATTTTAAATGTTAAAAAATACATAAGAATAAAGTACAAGTAGATAATTTGTAAAAAGTGTAAACAAGTTGGTCATCTAGTCACTAACATTATGATAAATGTGATCTATTACGAGAACCAAGTTTGGCACAGAACTATATTGTTAGTCTTAACCATTAAATACATAGGAACTGTTTACAAAACTGCTTTTAAAACAAAGAAAATTTTAGCAATTTTGTTTATTGATTATTATTGCTTGTGGTAAAATTCCTCTCTGTAAATGGGTCATATAGAATCATTCTACACATACCACCTTGTTTCAGCGCATCAGGAAATGAGATGGTTTTCCAGACAGAACTAATCTGTGCTAGAATGCATGTCCTACTTTCTATGCTGACCCCATGAGGGTAAATTTCTAAGAATGATTTTACAAACTGAGACCATGCTATTGAATGAAGCCTCTCCAGCAGAGATGCAGCCTCCCTCCAGCAGAGAACCAGCCAGAGTCAATCCTTACCATTAAGTAAGTTATGCATCTTCTTACACTGTGAACTCACTGACTTGAAGGGTGGGGGGAAAATCACTAGTGCAGCATGTGGTTATTTACCATCAGTCCTTTGATGGTTCTGTAATAAGGGTCCAGAAGAACACTGGCCACAGAGCACACCTGAGAGGTCCTGTCCCAGCCGTCAGAACAATGAACCAAGACACTGACACCTTCATCTGCCACAGCCTGAGTGTGTGAGAAACATGAAATAAGTTCAAAATATAGATGCTGAATAATAGCATTATTTCCTCACCCTTCGTTTATCCAAACCACTCAATGATTGTTTATTTCAAAAGATCAAAAAATTAAATCATACAAATTAAGCAGTTTAAGTTTAATTTGCTAAACAATGCACAAATATAATTTAGGCTTTTATATGGATAAAAATCTTCATTGGAGAGTAAGCAGAGAGATTAAACCTAATTATGTTTTGCAGAAACGATTTGACATGCAAGAATAAACCTCATTGGTTATCACACGTCAAGCAAGCAAGGCTGAAAACTTGGGGTGGGGTTGGGGTGGTCTGTGTAAAGTGTCATTTCACTTGAATTTATTCTTTGATCTCTTGATAAACATTCAAGTTTCCTATCTGGTAAAAATAGATTTTCAACTGAGACACATAAATCTCATTTATTCCAATGATTTAAACTTTGTTTAATAAACCTGAATTAATACATTTGTTAATTATTTAATAAATGTATTTATCAATTATTATCAATTAATTCATTTGTTTATTAAATCTGAATGAAAAATGTATTAAACCTTAACTGTAATTTAAACTTAAACGTTTATTAAACCTGATAAAACATAATTGTTTTTTACTGTAAGAATTAACCTCATTGGTTATTACACGTCAAGCAAACATGACTGAAAACTCATCGGGGAAAGGGTGGTCTGTCTAAAGTGTCATTTCAGTGTCATTTGGCCTGCTTCCACTGAGTGGTATGGTTCGGTACGCTTTTATGGCCGTTTCCACTGTCAAAAAGTACCAAAAAGCAAACTTTACCATACCACTTTTTGGGTACCATTTGTAAAGGGTACCTAGCACAACGTAAGGGTACCATAAGGCGGAGCTAGACACACAGCTAACCGCTATTGGTTTACAGAGAAACGTCACTAGCGCATACATAAGCCAGGAAAATAAAAACAAAGGAACCGTCATTTTTAAATAAACAGCCGAGACATTACATTGTAATACCATAAACATACAATAGCGAGCCACGGTCGACCTGAGCTCAAACAAACCTTGCTGTTGTTTTAATAAAAAGCCACAAGGCCAAAAAGAACAAAATCACCCATAATCTGTTTTTGTTTTATGAGGTTGTCTATCAGCTAGAGCGGTTTCACTTTCTCCAGAGTGCACGAGAAACAAATTTCTTGAGCTCATGATAATAATGTGCACAGAATTATTTAAGTGCTTCTGACATCTGATTCTTTCAGAAACGGATAAATGCAAGAGTCAAGCACAAAAAAACTAAGGAGAAACCGGACAAAACAAAGAAGCGAATGATCCTTTCAGCAACCTAAAACATGAACAAACTGCCATGTTTAACTATTATTATCAGCTTTTGGACTATTACGAACTCAGAATGACGGAATTACTTTCTAACAAGAGGTTACATGTGCTGCTGAAGATTAAAGATATAGATGAGAGGTTTGCACTGACCATTGGTACCCTTTTAGCAGTGGAAAGGCAAGCCTGAAAAAAGTGACCTGTACTGTACCGCTCAGTGGAAACGGGCAAGAAACATTCAAGGTTTCGATCTGGTAAATAGATTTTCAGTCGAGACACAGTAATCTCATTTATTCCAAGGATTTAAGCTTAACTATTTATTAAACCTGAATTTATTTATGTATTAATTATTTATAAAAATGTTTTTATTTATTTATCATTTATTGATTGATTCATTAATTAATCTGTTTATTAAATCTGAATAAAAATATATTAAACCTTAACTGTAATTTAATCTGAATTGTTTATTAAACCTGATAAAACATAATTGTTTTTTGCAGAAACATGCTGATTTGACAAACAAGAATGAACCTCATTGGTAGGCCCACACGGAATCTCCGCTCGCTGAATTCCGCAGATTTCTGCAGATTTTTAGCCCATCATTAATTCTGTTTATTTACTTATGTAAATGTGTAAATCTGAATTTATTCAGTTTTTATTCAGTAATTTATTACTTTTTATTTCATATATTAAGGTTTTAGTTATGATACTCTGCTGGATACTCCCAAAATAATTCCGCAGAAATCCGCAGATTTTTACCAAAATTCTCTGCAGAAATAGCAAAAAACGTCCGCAGATTCCGTCTGGCCCTACTCATTGGGTATCACACGTCAAGCAAGCATGTCTGAAAACTCATCAAGGATTTAAACTTAATTGTTTATTAAACCTTAATTTATTTATTTATTTGTTTGTTTATTAAATCTAAATAAAAATGCATTAAACCTCAATTGTTATTTAAACTTAATTGTTTATTAAACCTAATTAAACTGAATTGTTTTTTGCAGAAACATGCTGATTTGACATGCAAGAATGAAACTCATTGGTTATCACACGTCAAGCAAATATGATTGAAAAGTCATAGGGGGTAGGGGTGGTCTGTGTAAAGTGTCATTTCACTTGGATTTAGGCAAGGCAAGTTTATTTATATAGCACATATCAAACACAGTGGCAATTCAAAGTACTTTACATAAACAGGAATAAAAAAGACAAGTATAAGAAATAAAAACAAATAATAAAAATGATTAAAAACAGATTAAAATGTGTTAAAAACAGGTCATAAAAGATTGAAAAATAATTTCTTTGATCGCTTGTTAAACATTCAAGTTTTCTATCAGGTAAGTTGATTTTCAACAGACACAGAAATTTCATTTATTCCAAGGATTTAAATATTTCTCATGGGTTTGAAATGACACAATGGTGAGTGACAGAAATTGAATTAACCTTTTTTACCTTAGATATGAAGATTCCAGCCTCCATGATTGATCTGATGTGCTTCAACCAGTCTGAATTTTCAAGACCCAAGAGAAACTCTCCCATGGAGGGAGAACGCAGAGCAGAAACTGAAAAAAGACAACAAACACTCTGAGAACATCCAGATATATTTACTGCTAAAGTTAACTATATGATGAAAACCAGTAGCTCTATCAAGAATTTACAGTAGGAAACTGATACCAGGATTATTTTTAGACCTCTTCTTTAAAGTGCTCAATATTTACTTTGGCTTTACACAAAATAAGCTAGTGACTAACATGCGAATCTGTAGTGTCCTCTGTGAGTGTCCCCTTTATTTATATTACTTAAAATATGCACGTCTGATGAATTGGCTTGATGACAGTTCTGTCTTCCGGCTCATTACTTATTATGACAACCAAATAAATTAGTATTTCTATAAGTGGCGTTGATTCCTTCTCCACCCCAACATAAACATTCCCCATGAGCACTGTGAGCTTGGACATGTCAACAGTTCAAGTGTGATAAGGGCTGGTGGCGTCCCATGAGAACAGTCCAGATGAGAGCTCAAACCTTACATGACAAACCTGCTCGCTGTTAATGGCAGAACTCCATTTCAAGGAAAAGAGCATTCTAGGAAGAATCAAGCATGCTGTGATGAGATCTCAAACAGTCTCTGCTGGACGGCTATATGATTATTCGACCATATGACTCCCTAGTGTTTTCTGGGTCAAAATGCTATCTCACCCAGTGCCACTATTATTTCTTTAACACTGGAAGATTTCATTTCTCACGCCCTGCTTTTTCTCAATCAGCGGATAAGGCTCCCCAATCGTTGAGTCAACAAAACAAAAATAGGCAAGGAATAAAAGCCAGATGGATTTAAAGCACCCCTTCTACACCATCTGCTATGCCAAGAAACTCTCCTGTGGTACAATCTACTGCTTCATTACAGAATAATATCTTTATTATAGACCCTATTATAAATATTATAAAACCCTAAATCTTGGTTTTCTCACAAAAAAAACATTTCATACTGGTTCAAGCTGGTCTAACAGATGGATTATTGCAGAGAGAAAGCACATTGGTTCATAAGGTGAAAAGAAAACGTTTTGCATACCCTCTATGAGTTTCTGCTGACTGTTTCTCATCACGTGGATGTTTTCAATGCCGATAAACTGGAATTTAATGTTGCAGTAGTTGTCCTCATTTTCATAGCCTTTGCCTGCAGCTCGGTTCGCCATAGCATTTAGCTGGAAATACACAGGATTCTCATATATGGTGTCTTTCATATGCATTATTGATATTTCTATTAAGCGAACTGACCTTGGGTCTGGTGTCCACAACGTACATGAATCTGCTGCCAGGATTAGACTTCATGATGGCCTGCAGCATTTGCTCATCCTCCAGGCAACGAGCACTGAAGCCAGAAAGAGGCTGACTGCTGCGACATATCGTGGCCTACAAAACGAAAACATGAGACAATATTTGAGCAGGTGCTTGCCTGTGTGCTCTAGTGATGGTTCTTGTGTACCCTAGCCAGATAGGACAAGACCAAAACAAAACTGCTTAGTAGTTCTTCATATTAGATAGTCCATGTAGTAAAAATGTGAATAAAATAAAATAATAACTAAATATATGTACGTGCATGTATAGAACAGGAGTGCCCAAACTTTTTCGTATAAAAGGCCAAAAACCAAATATCATTGAGAGCCGTGGGCCGAAGATAAATATACCAAACTGTATCACATTAAAGTTGCCATGGGTAATTAAATTTAATTTATAAATGTATTTTCTGATATTTCAAAACAAATAGAAAACATTCATTTAAATTGTATTAACTAATGCAGTATAATTGTTTTGATAAAAAAATGGAGATACATAATTTATTACAATAAAAACATAAACAATCACATGTATAGCACAGTGGAGTCCCACCCCTCAATGCTGTATACACTACTCAAGCCCAATCTGCCTTTATTTGCTCACTGATGTCTGTGCATTGGCCTTTGTCCATCAGTAAAAAAAATTGTGCTTGTCCGACAGTAAAAAAAAAAACTAAATCTGATTCATTTTATTGAAACATTAAATTTCTGTTCAATTTTTGGAGCTTAGAAATAAAACAAACAAACAAACAAACAAACAAACAAACAAACAAACAAAAAGTTACATTAACCCTTTAGACAAGCCAGTGCAAAAAAAGTTTCTGACTTTTATATGGAGTTCTATTGAGTAAAATGGCAAATTGTAGTGTGCATGCATCAATACACTTACTATGTTTACTATGTTCTGAGAGCTGAAAGGCTTATTTTTTATGTTCTCAAACATATCAAGGTAAGTGTGCAAAGGTCTCTCACACACACTCACACACACAGCTTTTTTTGCACTGCAACTGATGATCAACAGGAAAAATGTGTAAATTTACCTTTTCCCAACAGGGAAAACCAGCAACAATCAAGAACGCATGATTATAGGGTGTTTTGGATTTGCAATCGAAAATTTGTTTATAATGGAAGTCAATGGGGAAAAAAACAGCCAAAAAGATAACAAAAGGGTAGTTAACTTGCCCAGAGTGTATTGTTAAATGTTTATTTTACCCAAAATATGTCAAAATAAGATTTGTCACCAAAAATCATTCTATTTGCTGAAACACATTGAAAGTCAAAGTCACGCCAGAGTGGATAAAAACATCCAAACCAGCACATAAGGGTTACATTTAAATCATTAAAATACATGTTTGATATAGTTTTTTTTAAACAAGACAAAATATTAGTAAATCTAGCAAAAATGCATTATACTATTGCCAATTAAATTTACCCGGAGTAATAGATAAATAAACTTTTTAAAAATGCAATTAATGAAATGTGTGTGTGTTTGAAAATAATTAAAAATACCTCAATCACATTCTTCCCATGAAACCAAACAAAATACTGCTGCTCAATCAAGAAAACATGCAATCATCAGAGTCATTTCCAGCTTGATCCTTTCACGCTTGATTAATAAATTAAACGGCACTGTCCCCTCAGTGGAATGGCTGTTTCATGAGAATTTGGCCCTGGGCTCTTAAAACTCTGAGCTTGCAATATTACATTTTTAGAAACTGTTCTAATCATATTTTGGGGTTAACAAGCCATGAACAGAGGGAGATATTAAACTATAACTGACCCCTGTGGGCCTGACCGTCATGATCCTAATGTGGAAGTCACACACAAGACTCTCCATGTGGTTTGAATTCATGTGTCCAAAAGAAAACAGAGACTCCAGGGGGAATATTTGACCTCAATGAAATTAAATGTCTTTTAACAGAGAGCCGAACCCAAGAGGGTGCAAAAGAGGTCTGGCTTTGGCATTAAAGTATCCATTATTGTCATATTTAATGAAGCAAGCATATGCTGCATGACACATTTAGTGCCTTGTCATGTTAAATGCACCACTTAACATTTAACTTACTGCAAAGCTGGAGTAAAATTTTATTTGTAAATCAAGCTGTAGTTTAATGTTAGATCAAGCTGGAACAAATTTATATATTTTATACACAGTATAAGAACATTATGTTCATGAACTCTCATCCTCAATCGAACGACCAAATATTTGGCAGGCAAAGACATATGAAGAACAGGACGAAATTCTCCACAGCCTCATTAAAAAGGACAGATGAATGTTAAAATGGAGACACACTGTACCAGATGTAGTCAAACTCACATGGTTTTCTTTGCAATAATATGACAACGTGGGAAATCGACCTCTGCTACGAAACTTAGAGCTCCCTACGATGACAGGGAGGGTGACGGATTTAGGCACAAACAAGTCAGCAGGGTAAGTGTCACACACCTGTGTTAAAAAAAAAAGTTATGCATATAAACAAACCTCCATGTAATCAACTGATTGTGTTTACATAGTATTGGTGGGTCATTAACAGTACTAACCCTGTAGTCTCGGTTGATTGGAGTAACATGCCAGAGTTTATTTGGAAGTCCCATTCGACTGTACTCAGCCTTCAGATCTATAAAGTCCCATGAGTGTTGTCGTTCAGCCTTGTCAACAGCAGGATTGAAGGAAAAACAATACAGCTCTTCATATTTTTCTGCAAGACAGGAAAAGAAAACATGACAATAATGTCCTTATTAAGTACTATAGGTTTTATATTATATTAACCCTTTTAAAGGCATACATTGAGTGTGGAACATTATTTGCTACCCTCCTCATACTTTTGTGCAAGATATACACCTTTAAAATATTATTAATATAGCTGGGAATTGTTTTTTTTTATTTCCTAATACTTTTTTTGTTTTAAAGAAGTGCATAGGGTTGCTGAAGATATGGTATGAAATAGTGTAAATATGTTTTTTGATCAAGGCTCAATTCTTTGTAATTCATCAAATTAGCAATTTCTGATATAAAACAAGGACACAATTTAACCATAATTAGCATAGTCATAAAACTATTGTTTATCATCAGCAAAACAGAAATACAGTAGTTTGAATGACATTAGTTTCACCATTACTTAGTATGACTTAATATTGTTAAGAATGTAAATATAGAAAGTAAAGATAGTAAATTCCTCTGCTTAAACTGAATTGTTCCAAATTCCAGGAGCTATAACATATATTTTATTTGATTATTTTGACATTTATTAACATATTGGAAGAATAAGAGATTAATCAATGTTAGATATACAGTATAGGTCAGGGCCAATGAAGACTGGCATATTAATGATTTCATAAACATTTATGCATTTAAAGGATTAAGTGCCCTTATTGTGCTTTTTTCAAATGTGTATCCACAATATAGCAGTTAATGACTAAAAAGTTAATGACTTTGTCTCCAACTAACTGCATTTTTTATTCTCTGCACAAGCCTAAGTATTGTTTTAAACACATTTAGGTATTGCCAGCCAGTGTCTCTCCACGAACAATATCTACACCATCAAATACTGTAATTGTAACTAATAAAAAAAAAAGACTAATCATATCCACTCTGAATAAAATCCCCAAAGGATCAGGTCAAATATACTCCACTGTTACCATCTTATCATACATTCACATGCTATGAACTGAAATTCAGATATTGTAATGGGTATTTCAGAAGTGTGCTGACCGATCAAAACAGACGAAATATCTTGCCAATCAGAGAAGGGTAGGATTTTTTTTAGAGATCCAATCCTTGAACTAATTATTTCAAATATTATATTGTCACAAAAGAAGTGATGCTGCAGTGCATACTATGAGAAGTGTTTTAACCTTAAACAATTTTTAGTTGTTCAAGAAATGGAAATCTAGCACTCAAAAATTCTCTCTTGACTCAAAATTCTTATCCACAAAAAGAAGCTGCTAAAAGCTAAAAAAATATCAAAAATATATACGATAAATGTCAATAACTAATTTTCAGCTACAACAAAGTTACTGCCTTTTGCCTTTGCACAATATTATTGTAGTGGACTTTGAAAAAGCATTATAGGTACAATTTGAATGTTTAACTATACATTTTTCTGCAATAATCCTGCATATTGTTCAAACAATGCAAACATGTATGACGCACCTGGTCTGGAGAGACGTGTGAGTGAAATGTAAACATTGTGCAAGTCGCTCTCTTGAAGAATGATAAACTGTATGACCTGAAAGTTCTTGCAGTGGATTAATAAAGGGTATCCACTATGTGATGCTTTATGTTTTACAATGTTACATACTAAACTGTGCAGGACCTGTGAAAAACAAATATGCCATTTCAGTACTTAAAACTGAACATTTAAAAAACAGAACAAATGTTCAGTGAAAAAAGGAAAATAATGTGGTACGGCAGGCAAGAACTTACCCAAAGCTCATTTCGGTCCTCAGATCCTTTACCTACAAAGATAGTGTGTGTTGCTGTCAGGTAGAGTGTGCCCACTTGAGATTTCCGAGAGGAACTTCTGTCCACTAACCGGACATTTTCAACCTGCAGACACAAAAACAAAGTAATTAGACACATTAATATGTGAAGAGCTACAAATTGAACAAACCTTCAAGCCTGAAGTGATACTGCTGTATGCTAGAATCATCTTCATACCGTTGTCACACAAGAAAAAAAAAAAAATCTGCTTTTTAGACTTTTTAAAAATATATAAGATGTAGGCCTAATATTATGGTTTTCATTTTATATTGAACACAGTGACTGAGCTCACTGAGTATAAAATGTCATAATATCCCATCAAGGATGTGGAAACAATGCACTGAGAGTTCTGAGATACATGACATAAAAGAGATTTGTTGTGATGAATCATTGTATCATTCATTGTATGATGCTGGGCATTTACCTTTGGCATTCTGATGTGTTCCATCTCTGACCACCACACCTCTGGCGCATGAAGCGTATCAGGGTTCAGAAACACGTATTAGTGTCATGCTAAACGAGTGTTTTTGTGTTCGTGTAAACAAAATAATATTTCAAGTATTATCCGAAACGCTGAGCCGCTTCGAATCCGGGTTGATACGGTTACATATGGCTCCTCCCGTCATCTGTAATGATTCACCGTATGGTCTCTGTGCCGCTGCTGGGTCCTAAAGCCGACGAGTTTGGTAATGTGCGCGCATTACGTTATGATTTCAGCAAACAAGCATATCTCTCTGAAATATTTAAGTATTTACTCAAATTAATTGTATCTTTATTGCGGTTTCTTTTATATAACACAAATAATAGTAATGTGTTCAAGATCAAGATCAGAGCAATACTTGGATGTTTGGGACATCAGAGAAGCTGCACTGTGCGAGTGTCCAAAGGGCCAGGATAATCTCCTCATGCTGCTGCGTGCGCTGTGTAGAGGATGTTATCACTGTGCATTTTTCTCAAAACAAAATGAACATATCTGCAACTAAAAATTTTGCAGTGAGAAAACAGCAGTTAAAAAGCATTTGGGAAAAGAAGTGTAGGTGCTTGTGCAAATTCTGTAGTTCAGTACTCAAGTACACTCATGTCACATGTATTTCCTAATCAAATAAGTCAGAGCCCCATTACACCTATACAGGCCCGAAGCCAGTCTGGTGAAAGGGGCAGATCTTTTTTCTCAAAAAGTGGACCTTTTAGCAGTTATTAGGCTCATTATCTATTTCTACCAGGTTAAGTATTTAAAGTTTAAATACTGCATTTTAGTGACATTTTAAGATTTATTTACTTTGTGATTAGCTTGTCGGGTGGCCATCATTACCATACATTTTGATGTGTCAAAACCTTTCCTAAAGGTTTAGAATAAAGAAATATGAAAAACGTATATGTATTCTTTTTATTATATGTCATTATGAAAAAAAGAATCTATTAAAGTTTTAAATCAAAAGCTGCCTATTAAGGCTAAGTAGCCTTTTATTAAGCATTTTTTAAGCTTGAATACCTTTTATTATCATTTATGAAGCAAATAACAAACTAGGCAGCACATTCAACTATTCTAAGTTAGAATTTGGCCACTTGAATAATAAAAAATATACATGATATTAATGTTAATAATAATAATAATAATAATAATAATAATTATTATTATTATTATTATTATTATTATTATTATTATTTAGAATGTCCTGATTTTTCTAGCCTCTCTTGCAAAAAAGTACATTTGAAAATTCATGAATAACAACAACTTTAGCCTAATTAGTATTAAAATTAACTTTTATATGCTTTAAAATTCACTTTTGGTGGTTCACACCTTTTTATTGGTAATTTTTTCTTTCAAGAACAAGGTGCAAGATTTAGAATAAAAGTTCCTTGTAAAACGTTTTCTCCAACAAAACAGTAGGTCAGTAGTGAAAGTTGACATCACTTTAGTCAGATTCTTCTTGGTCTTAAAGCCTTCTTCGATGAGTTATTTTCACAATTGATGATTTATACAGGTCAAAATAGGACTCATGAGCTCATGCATGGGACAAATTCTGGACCTTTATCATTAGGGGTTGGGTCATTCGAATTCGAACCACCTGAATCCTCCTCAGCTACAGGTCTGATCTATTATGCTAGTGTTGTAGTGCTACATTTAAGGTGCTTACCAATTGTGTGCTAGTGAAGGGTTGCACCAGTTGTTCGTTCTTGTTTAATCTAGAACATAAAGTCCATACTAGAGGTTTTGTAAGTACAATGAAGTCTATTCTAATGGTGCAATGCAAAAGTGTGTAAGTTGTAACTTGGGGTCCATTTACATCAGCTATGGGGTTAATTTGTGCACTGCTGGTACAATCAGGGTCAGATGTTTAACAACAAGAAGCTGTACATTATCCCACTTTTTATCACAATTTAATTTAGAGTAAATTACATTTTAAATGAAGTTTACAATGTAGGTTCTAAAGAAGCCTAATTATTTAGACATGTCAATCATTATCACGTGCGTATATAAGTGATAGCTTGAAGCCCGAATCGAGCCTCCTTTAAGGATAGCTGGCCAAGTTCTTTTATCATTATCTAACATCACTGAATAAGCAGAGAAATTTGTAAAGCACAAATTATTACTGCTTTGGCTTAAAAGGTAACGATCATCTTAAAGTACTGAAAGCAATGAATATTGATTAATTGTATAGAATTTTTAATTGACCTAGCTTACATGACTCATGTCCGGTCTTCTTGACCTATTTTTTTTCTGTAATGAATTTTAATGTGATTTATTTCACCAATTTACTTCACTTCAGTTGTTCACAGCTAATAATAGCATAAGTTCACAGACAGCTTATCTGTCAAAATTCTCTCTCCACATTTATTGACTCCGCTCTCTCTACACAGAATACATATTGACACTGCTGTGACGTCAAATGAATCTTTGAGTTAATCAGTGAGCCTCTACGGACAGTTGCAGTTTTGTTTAGTACTTTGATTTGACAAATTTACACCTAATCCCTGTGATTTAATACTGCTTGTTGAACTTTTCATTACTGTTACTTTTCTAGTTTTTATCCATAGCTACTTTAAAGTCAAACTAATGATGCATTACTTAGATCTCTTTTTACATATCATAAACTTGTGAATGTTTTTTTTATTGGCCTACGGTAATGAGTGATATGGCTTTCCGAATAAGAAAATATTTAGGGTAGGACACTATTTTGTATATTGAAAACTGATTGTATGATTTTGTTTGTTGCTGCAAATCATATTTAGTGATAGATTGTGATTTAATTAAAATGAAAAAAAAATGCAGTGCATAAATAATTGATAATAAACAAAGCATATTTGCATCAAAAATAAGAATAGTTCTGATGAAATATAACACACATCTCTGAAAATACAATGATACGTTTCACATCACAGGACAAATGACATTGGTGGGTTTCAAGAACTCCTACTTTTCCTGTTAAAGCTTGTTGAATTTGAGGCCTGTGGCTAAAAACGTTAATGCATTAGTAAGCATTTCTCTCATTATCTCTGATAACCACCATGTCCCAGATTTTAACAGTACTATATGCATTTGTAGTCAATAAGTTCCATATCATCGATATTACCCTATAGTACATTATAGCGTACATTTAATGGCAAGAACAGACCTGCAGGAGCATCCTGAGTTTAAGTGCTCATGGCCATAAAGCCTGATTGTGACCTAATGGCCCAGTTTCTGTAACTAAGGATTTACCCTTTAGCTTTTATTCTTCATTACATTATTTATGGCTCCTGACATTGTTAGTTGACATGGAAAGCTCAACAAATGTATATATGTATAAAAACTTTTGGCTGAGTAACAATAAAAAAGAATTTCATTCTATGTGGTTGGCATAGAAAATCGACTAAGCTAAAGAAACCTTGAGGCAGTTTCTCATAGAAACACAGTCTTTAAGAGGATTATGCAAATTGAGCACTTTTGTAATAAAGAAAGCATTAAGTAGATATTACACTGCGCACAGGTGATCATTTCAGCCTTCACATTGGTATTCAATATAAAAAGATCAACGAAGCATTAAGGAGTATACTGGGTTAGTATGTCAGTCTTCACCGTGCAATGCTATATTCATATCCCCTGTTTGTTATACACTAGAAAGCATAGAAAAAAGCTACTTGTGCTGTCTTACCTCAAACAAATTCTCCTTTTAGAAATTATAGATGATCAGTTTCCCATGCTGATTCTCACAGAACAAACCAGTAGATATCCAACTTTTGCAGTGTCAGCACAGGATCACTTAAGTCTAGACTATACATCTTCTAGTGCACAGATGTAAGCTTCAGTTCATTTTTGGATTCAATCAGTCTCCCTTTAACATAGGATGGTTGACAGGTTAGTGAACTCTAAACAACTTTGCCTGTGTTTACTGTTTAATGCGTCACCAAAACAAAAGCAAGCACAAAGTGACGTACATTGCATAAAAGTTATTTGTTCTTGCAGATAAAGAGTGAAGGAGGGCAGTTCATTTTAGGAAAAGCTGTATGGGTTTTGTAACAATGGCAAAAGCTGATTGCACAGCAGTTTTGCATTTGCCTTCCCCTATTTGTAGCCATCAACTACTGTCCTCATGTCTTCTCACTAATAATTGACTTGTAGATTTCCTGGTGACAGCTTTGTTAAGTGGTGTGGAGTGTCCCTATGACAAACAGTTTCAGCAGCGCTGGATAGCCGTGTTGACATTAGAACCAATATTTTCACATTAGATGAACTGACCATGGACATGTGCATGACCCTTGTAAATTGCAGAAGGATCTTGAAATGAAAAATATTCATTTATTCATATTCTTTTCGGCTCAGTCCCTTTATTAATCTGCAATGAACCTCCAACTATTCTGGGCATATGTTCAGCGGATGCCCTTCCAGGTGCAATCCAGAAATTGGGAAACACCCATACTCACTCACTCATTCACACACACACACACACATGAACGCACGCACGCACGCACGCACGCACGCACGCACGCACACACACACACTACAGACAGTTTAGTTTATTCAATTCACCTATAACGCATGTCTATGTCTGTGGATTGGGATTCGACAGTGCTAACCACTGAGCCACCATGCCTTCCCTTATTATATAAATAACTTTTCTCATTTAGGGAAAAACGGTTGTTTGACCTGTAATGACAGTCTGGTTTAAGAAAATTAACAGTTAATAACAGTTCAACAGGTTCTGTCACGCTCAAAATAAATGTTCGGGTGGATCCAATAGCGAGTGAACAAAGTAATTTATTAAACACAGTCAAACTCAAAAAAGGCAGGATGTAACAAAAGAGTGAGGTGCTAAGGCTAGGGGAACAGGACAGGAATCGAACAGGAAATCAGGCTCTAGCAGAAGCTCCTCACGGTCCTGAGCACAGACAGAGAGACACACATGAGCACACGTAACGAACTGACAATGAACATTAAACACGTAGCACTTAAATAGTCACGATGATGTAATTCAGCTGGCGAAAAATCAATCCAGCGGAGTGACGTAAGGCCACGTGACCAAAACAACACACGTGGGCCACAAAAGCAAAACAAACCCACATGAT